CATTTTCGTCTTCCACGCATGTGTGTTACAGTGCGTGAATGTATGTATGTGTGTGTGTTCATTTATTTCCGTTAACGCCTACTGACAAAGAAATCTTTTTCTTTATACGAATTTGTCCGAATCGATCGTTATCTCGCTCGCAGTTGACGAGCAAACATGAAAAACTGTGTAAATGTACGTGATGTATCTTTGCGTGTGTACACGTGTATTGTATTTTTTCTTGTGCACTGGCCAACAGGGCCGCCGAATTCGGATCTCGATGACCTTGGGTCGGAGTCTCTTTTATTTCATTGCGAATTTGTTATTTTTTTTTATCGACTCTTGTTCGTCTCTCGTAACGTGAATGCGTATTAAAATCGCTATGAACTCTCCCTAATCAGTACAATAATTCGGCATCACAATTAATATTACCACGATGAAACCCACGGCCCACTTCAACCGAGTTGAGCACCCCTGCCGGGCCTCACGCTCTCTTACTGTGTCGATCTCCTATTTTTCTCCCGGCTCTTTTCTCTCACCCTCAGCCTCTTTCTCTCCCTCTGCCTCACTATCACTCGCTCTCTCAATCTTTCTCTACCATTCATTCTCGCAATCTCACGGTTTCTCAATATCCTTTCTCCCTGTCTCCCTCACTCACTCACTCTTTCTCTCACTCCCCCTCTCTCTCTCTCGTACATTCTCCTTCCTGGTGTCCCAACAAATTCGCCAAATCCCACAGAAAAGAAAGACACGCGGCATATACTACAGTTTCGCGCACTGTGTGTGTATGTGTGTGTGTACAGCGGAAATCAAAGGTGCGACATACCCGAAAATTGTCGAGAAAACGGTTGGTACAGGTTGTTTATGTATAGTTTCCGGAAATGTATCGAGGGATTTTGAAATTTTTACAAGACGAATAGAATTTGCTTACGGGTAGTCGCAACTCTGCTGTCCGCTATCCACTTTGATTCGTGATATTGACTACCGTCTGCTCTAGTCTGTCTGTCACGCATACTCTTTCTTTCGTTCTCTCTCTCCCTTTTACCCCAGAGAAAGCGGGAGGGAGCAACACGAACGGAAAATGCAGACGGAAGACGCGCGGAATTTCAGTGAATTTCTTAAATCATCGGTTGATAATTTTTCGCTCGTTGAACTCGCCAATAATTCATAAAATCATGTTAATATGTACAATCGTGAAGGTTTTAATGCTTCAAATTTCAGGATCATTGATATCGTATTTACAAATTTAAACACGATTGTTAAAAACATCTGATAATACCGAGTGATTATTCAAGTTCGATTCGATTTATAAAAATACATATAAAGGAAGATTTACCGTCTGCATTTTGCAACGTTTCCTTTTCTAAACCGCTCCCTCCCCCTCGCATGCATACCCCTCCCCTCCCATGCCGCATGCACACAAACATAGTTCGCGCAGGCAGACTATGCTTTTCTCGCACGCAGAACTTTCTCTTGCTCGCACATATCTTTCGCAATTCGAATCTTGCTTCTTTTTTTTATCGTTTATCTTGATTTTGTCTCGTTTTATTTAAAAAAATACTGAATATAACCAAGCTAAAATCACAGACTTGCTGGTGCCTTATTCCAGCGGGTTTGTACAAATTCTTCCTGAAGGACTGTATGTATAGTTACAAGATGTATATATATATATATAAGTATGTATATATAATATATGCGTATATATATGTATATATAGTAATTACAATTCGCTCGTGAAATAAACTCTCTCGTTCTGATTCTCACAATTGGTTTCACAAGTGGCTTTGTTGCTTTCTTTCTGTGTCTTTCTCTCGCTCGCTCTGTCTCTCTCTTTCTCTCTATCACTCACTACGCGTGTTCCCTCACGTTTCACAGCTGACCTTTTATTTTTTTTTCTATGTTCGTTTGCGTTGTCGATTTGTATGTACGTGTGTGTATCTCTTGTGGATGTGTGAACTCTTGTCTGTTTCTCTTGTCCTCTCTTTCACGCGAATCAAACGGTTCTATCGAACAAGTCTGCGCCGCTGCATTATCGTCTCGACTATCATCTTCCGATGGCTCGAAATCAAATCAGGAAAAAAGGAACATTATCTGCTGCAGCTTCGGTACAAGCTATTATTATACACATATCATCTACAGACTATGAAAAACGGTGTGCGAGATTTTCTACGCGTCGCCGTTCGACTTCTCACACTTTCACCATCACGTCTCGTTTTGACAGCGACACACGGGTAGGATGCTGTTTGCCACGACGCGTCGCATCACGCAGAGAGAATTATAACGGCTTTTTCTATTTTTTCCTTTTTTGAAAGAGCAAATCTCGGTGTTTCTTCTCTTTTTCGGGTTTTCGTTTTGTTTTTAGTTGTCGTCGTTTCCACGTCCCTTTGCGCGCGCTCTATAATAATTTCGCAAGGTATGCATGCTTAGCAATTTTAATCGAACTTATTTCTCTACGATGGAAACATTGCGAAGAAACCAAACGTATTGGTAACCATTAAATACTACGAGAGAAGAAAAGGCAAAGAATACGGTGAAATATATAAATGAATCACATAACGATCGAACCCCGTGTTTCTTCTCCCCTGTAGAGGAAAAATCGAAACAAAAAGATACGGGACATAAAGCTAAAAATATATATTTATTCGCAAATATACGTAATGCACAATCCGCGGATAGGTTGATCGCTAACGTTGGTTGATCTAAAAAGAGTAATTCGTTTAAAATTGCCACGCACACTAACGGGTATAAACATATTTATAAACATTTACTTTTACATATCGGTGCGAAACGGCCGCGTGTACGCCTGCCGTAGAACCACGGATACACGCGCTCCTAATTAGGTCGTTCACACAGAGATTGCTTATATTGTCTCTCTATTCTTAATATAATCACAGACACGGTTTCTATAATTGCTACATACAGAGCCTTTTGATCCGATCACTGAACGCCACTAAATTCCCGGCATCCTCTGTTTCGCTCTTTCTCACAAGCATACTTCTCCCTCTCTTTTTCTCGCTCGCTTTCATTCTTCCTCCCTTCTTTACCACATTTTCCACGATCGCGCAGCATCTTTTTCACGATTAAATCACCAAGCAATCCGGCTACACAATCGAACAAACGAAAAAGCATTCCGCCGAATAATTTTAGCGTTCCGATCCGAGAATTTTGGATTTTCGCGTATGATTTCCGAACAGTAATATTCGCCGCAAAGTGGCACGTAAAACGGACAACGTTCTCGAATCAAATTCCACAGTGGATGCGTTTTGTAACCTTTCCGAATTTTTACCAAATCGCGTGTAAACCGGACGCGTTGCCGGAAAGAGAGAGAGAGAGAGAGAGAGAGAGAGAGAGAGAGAGAGAGAAACTAGAACGAAACGATCGAACGATTACGCGTGAATTGTCTCTTGGAACGACAGATTTTCAGGTGACACAAACAGATTTTGTTCTACTCCCAGCAGATCTATTTGCACACACCACGGGTCTTCTACACACTTTGATCATCGTAAACATCGAGAATTGTAACTATTCTAACAATTGCGGTACGGCTGTAAACGAAACACGGAACACCGAATTCACACCAAACGTCTCTCTAACTGTTCGATTATTATTCCCGTAAAGAACCATAAAGCAGTCTTTTCAACATTTTTGTTTTTCTTATCGCGTGGTCGCATTATTGTTACGAATTCTTACGAAACTTTTGAAGTCTTTATAGTTCTCTAGCGTTCACAACGAGAGGAACTATCTATAAAAATTGATAACAGAATAAAATAACTCCGTGATGATCAAGACGCAAAAGCTTAAAAATCAATATTTCTAATGAAAAATGCTCGCTCGATGGTTATATGGAGAAGAAGAATATTCGACTGATTTATAAGATTTAATACAACCGGCGATAATTTCGTTTCGGCATTCCTACGACATTAATTTGCAGCTGTTACAACGAATGTTTCTCGTCACATTTAGACCTTAGAACCGTAAAATTTCAGTAGTTCGATTGCAAAGGAAATTTCACGATTAGCAAAACTACTCAGAGGGAAGCGTGAAAGCGATAACACCCTGCGATTGGCTAGAAATCTCGTAAAAGAATTAACTTTAGTAAACTGAACGTAGTTGGATTTCTATGGGGGTTATTGCACCGGTAACTACAATGACAAAACCTGTCCCTACACCTCCAGAAGCGGCTGCATCTATGAGAGATATAGCTCAACCTGCTATCCCATCGATAAAAAAGTTCTTTTTTTAGAGATGGACCAAGCTTTTCTACTACTATTGCAAAGAAAGTTTGTCCATTTTATCGATACAGACGAAAACTATCGAAAGCGGAGGGGGTGAACAATTCAGAAAAAAAAAACAGTCGCGTACGAGGATCGGCGATACATTCGCATGAGAACCAGTTCGACGTTAATCACACTAAACGAGTAACAGTTCGCTTCGGAACATTCGTAAACGGCGATACATTGTTCCACCATCGAAACGAAAAACCAATGTACCCGAGAACCCTTGGAAGGAAGCAAGCGATTACGAAAGAACAGCCGATCGGTGAACGTTATTGTCCAAGTGGTGAATCTATGGATCGAAAAATAGTCACTTGATAACGTCTCTTTCGCGTTTACACGGTCCCCATTCGTGCCCTGTCGCATGCACACCCCGCGCATTCGAACGACCGAGCGTGTCGGTCGCGTCCGAAACACCAGAAAAGATAATTGTATAAGACATGCACGATGTAACGCGCCCCCTCCCTTCATGCGAAGAAGATCACAGTTGTTTACTTCATATTTTTATTTCNAGAACGAAACGATCGAACGATTACGCGTGAATTGTCTCTTGGAACGACAGATTTTCAGGTGACACAAACAGATTTTGTTCTACTCCCAGCAGATCTATTTGCACACACCACGGGTCTTCTACACACTTTGATCATCGTAAACATCGAGAATTGTAACTATTCTAACAATTGCGGTACGGCTGTAAACGAAACACGGAACACCGAATTCACACCAAACGTCTCTCTAACTGTTCGATTATTATTCCCGTAAAGAACCATAAAGCAGTCTTTTCAACATTTTTGTTTTTCTTATCGCGTGGTCGCATTATTGTTACGAATTCTTACGAAACTTTTGAAGTCTTTATAGTTCTCTAGCGTTCACAACGAGAGGAACTATCTATAAAAATTGATAACAGAATAAAATAACTCCGTGATGATCAAGACGCAAAAGCTTAAAAATCAATATTTCTAATGAAAAATGCTCGCTCGATGGTTATATGGAGAAGAAGAATATTCGACTGATTTATAAGATTTAATACAACCGGCGATAATTTCGTTTCGGCATTCCTACGACATTAATTTGCAGCTGTTACAACGAATGTTTCTCGTCACATTTAGACCTTAGAACCGTAAAATTTCAGTAGTTCGATTGCAAAGGAAATTTCACGATTAGCAAAACTACTCAGAGGGAAGCGTGAAAGCGATAACACCCTGCGATTGGCTAGAAATCTCGTAAAAGAATTAACTTTAGTAAACTGAACGTAGTTGGATTTCTATGGGGGTTATTGCACCGGTAACTACAATGACAAAACCTGTCCCTACACCTCCAGAAGCGGCTGCATCTATGAGAGATATAGCTCAACCTGCTATCCCATCGATAAAAAAGTTCTTTTTTTAGAGATGGACCAAGCTTTTCTACTACTATTGCAAAGAAAGTTTGTCCATTTTATCGATACAGACGAAAACTATCGAAAGCGGAGGGGGTGAACAATTCAGAAAAAAAAAACAGTCGCGTACGAGGATCGGCGATACATTCGCATGAGAACCAGTTCGACGTTAATCACACTAAACGAGTAACAGTTCGCTTCGGAACATTCGTAAACGGCGATACATTGTTCCACCATCGAAACGAAAAACCAATGTACCCGAGAACCCTTGGAAGGAAGCAAGCGATTACGAAAGAACAGCCGATCGGTGAACGTTATTGTCCAAGTGGTGAATCTATGGATCGAAAAATAGTCACTTGATAACGTCTCTTTCGCGTTTACACGGTCCCCATTCGTGCCCTGTCGCATGCACACCCCGCGCATTCGAACGACCGAGCGTGTCGGTCGCGTCCGAAACACCAGAAAAGATAATTGTATAAGACATGCACGATGTAACGCGCCCCCTCCCTTCATGCGAAGAAGATCACAGTTGTTTACTTCATATTTTTATTTCTTTGACCCCTTTCTCGCTTACACCCAAGCGCGCTTTCCTTTCTCTCCTTCACTATCGCGCGCGTTCACGCATACACACAGCCATATGGATGTACTCGTACATACACGCAGCCAGGCCCAGACATCATACATGCATAGACACGCATACGGAAAGATTTCGTTCATTTCGCTCGCTCAGTCTCTTTCTCCACTGCACGAGAAAACAGATAATATACAATTTGACGACACGACACGTGATACACGCGCGAGTCGAATTTTCGGTTCGGTCTCGCGCGTGCATACGATAACCTACGGTACATAATACCTATATATATGTACATATAAACTCGCGCTTTTGTTAAAGGTTTGTACGTATGCAGTGTAAACGTGTGTTCTTATTGTGTTAACGATACCAAGGTGTGGGTCGAGCTTCAGGCGGCTCAGCATCTGACGACCAATGAAGACGATGATGGACGATGGATGATCCGGAAAAAAAACAATACTCGGGGGGGAGGCCGCTGTGCTCCGCGGTATCCGTGGCAGCGGCGACAGAACGCGGCCGCGTCGGCGTCGTCGTCGCGGATCGTTGGCGCCAACGTATCCCAATGTGGAGAAGGTAGGGTCCGAATCGACTCCTGAGGATCTCAGAAAACCGATGGATTAAACTGGTAGATCAACGGGCTCCTCCTTCTGTAACTTTCGATCACGTGGCAACTAAAATCGAGTTATGGATATTCGTTTTTTCTTTCCCGAGTGACTGGTAATGTGTTTTGTTTCGGTGTCTGTGTGTGGCTCGGTGGTAATTTGCATTCACAGTGCGAGGTTAAGGGAGGCAAAAGTTCATGACGATCACAGTTGACGACAGAAGAGTGTGCATATTCAACCGGATGTTGTTGTTGTTGACGATGAGTGTTCGGTCGAATTTTGCTCGTTCCTTCTGGTCTTGTAATTTTCTCTGCGTTTACAGGCATCTTCGTCCACGATTTTCTTCTTCTCGATCGCCGTAGAAGGGAGAGACGTACCAAGAACATCAGAATACGAGAGGCTTCCGAGTAATCGATTAGAATGGTAGATAAAGAGACTTCGTGGAAGAAAAGAGATTTGCGACGGTAAAAACACGTTGAATTCTTCTCGAGGGAGAGAGGCTCGTTTCTTTTTTTCTTTTTTTTTGCGTTTTCCTCTCTCTGCGGAACAGAGAAGAGGGTCAGACTGGTTCGTTGTTCCCCGGTCCCGCGCGGCGTCCTTTCAGGATCGACGGAGGCGCGCGCGAGAGGAGGCTGAGATCAATTTGTCGGGCTGAGAGAGAGTTCCTCGCGGAGCTCGCCCATTTTGTTTTCAGTTTCTCACTTTGCAATGGCGGTCTCGCTGCTGCTGCTTCTTCCCCCTTTGTGGCTGGAACAAAAGAAAAGCCCCGGATCTTCTCGCGAGACGCGCCGGGACGCAAGATGACCGTTGATCTGGTCTGGTCGCATCGATGCTACACGTACACGCGCGCCGCGTTCTCCTGCTGTTACAGTTTCTCGATCATTCGACAATAATGATGACGCATCTTCTGCCATGAGCGTGTAATCCCCTTTCACGAAGAGTGCTCGGAGGATGACTCGCGCACGATATGGTTGGACTAGAGTCAGTCGTACTCAATTGGTGAGCGATCCGTCGGATCACAGAATTCGGATCGGAATTTGGCCAAGAAAATCCGATTTTTTATTAGATTCCCATACCTTCGACTGGATTTGCTTTGCTGATAATCGTCGACGTTCCCTTTTCTGGCTGGGAACACCGTTCGATGGAACGGTAGGGGAGAGAAAGAGAAAGAGAGAGAGAGCGCGCGCGCGCGCGTGCGTCCGTGTACACGAGTGAAAAATACGTCATGTTTTCACTTTGACCAGAGGGGAGCACGATCACATATATCACGAAAAAAAAGACGCGTGTGCTTTGATCAGTCCGAGAGCGTGATGCACGTCCAATAGAGACGAAGCGAGACGTCTAGCGTCGTCGCGACGACGAATGCGTGTTCCGTGAAACGCTTCAACTGGAAACGAACGCGGCGATTTGCTCGCTGAACTGCGAGTGTTCCAACAACAACGAATCTTTGCAGCTTTCGAATTGTTGTTGCTGTTGTTGTTGTTGTTGATGGTGGTGGTGCTGATGGGGATGTTGATACTGATGTTGCTCCTCCGGGTCGGGTTCCGTGCGCTCGTAGAGCACGCAGATGGATCCGTTCTCGCCGATTCTGTACGATACTTCCGACGGGTCGATCCACATAGTCAGCTCGCTCGGGAACAGACTGTGCAACACCGTGGGCAACAATCCTACGTTCGCACCTGCCTGCGCGATCACCGGGTCCATTTTACCGTTGATGCGTATACAACGGTAACCGGAACCACGGTTCGGACGATCTGGGAACCAATGGTTCCTGTAACGGTGGCGGAGAACTTCCGTCAACGATGACTTGAACATCTCGAGCTGCCGCTCGGACAGCTGACCCGCCTGCAGACGCAGCAGATGCACCAAAAAATCCGCCGCTGACACAATTTCCAGTCTCATGGTTGCTAAGCGAAGTCACCCAGGTCGAATCGATCTACGAGGAAATGTTGTATATGTCACACCTCTTCCAATCCTCTTCCACCCCCGCCGGCCCCTTTTCCCTTTTCCCCGATGGTGAAAACGGAGTCGGAGACGATGCGCGACGATCGAAGCGTAACGCCGTTTCTTCCTCGATCAGATGGGTCACGGCGCGAGAGGGGCCGTTGTTGTTCGTGGCGGGATGTATTCAGGAATCTTCACAAAATGGCGGCGCGGCCACGTCGCACGGTCGCACTTCGTATCCGTTCGTCGAAGCTCCAGCGCGAAAACGGAGTACCGGTCGGTTCTCGATGATTCTTTTTCGTATACCAACGACGATACGGCTCCGGCAGGTCGTTCGTTCGACGCGATTCGCCTCGCGAAAATCGTGAGTCTCGGTCGACGGATTTTGAATTCGTTGCGACGGTCTTGTTAGACCGACGGATACGATCACACCAGCTAGTGATTCGATTCTGCGTTTTGTCGCGATCGTTCACGCGTTCCAAATCGTTTCTCCGATCCCTGGGATACCCGCGAGAAGCGACAGACTGCGAGATATATATTCGATATACTTTTAAACGATCACTATCGACGGTTAAAACCTTTCCTCTTCTTCCTCGATTCGAAATTTTCTCTCTCTCCCACGCTGTGTTTTCACTCTGTACACCTTTCGAACGACGGAATAAACTTTCTCGCGATGCCCAAACCGACGCGCCCTTCTCTTTATCGCGGAACAACCGCACCCACCGACTACCAACGACTTTCTAGTGGCATCAACCGTCGACACGAACCAAGTAGCTTTGTCTCTTTGTTCGCGCAGCCCGGAGCGGGGATAGTACGCCGTCGAGGATTGGCTCGCGGCAATCCCTACCGCGGCCGGCCATCACATGCTCACAATCTGCGCGTGCCTGGCTGCGCGGACGTCTGCAGCTGCGTCCCGAATACGGATCGTCTGCGCGAATAGGAGTTCTCAACCGGTTTATACCCACGTCATTATAAGAGTGGGCGATTTTGGAGCCGTAGACGAGTGTTTCTCCGAAAATCGAGTTACGGAGAAGATTACGTGTATGGTCTTGTTCATACGAAACCGACCAACCAGAGAAAATACTTTCCAACAGTAAAATTAGGATCTTACCACACAGATAATATCTTTTTTCGATACGTGTGTATCTCCTTCCGCTCGCGTGAGATGTATAATTTCGACTTCAAAATACGTATTTCACGGAAAACATGTAAATAATTTAATGAGAGTTTTTTATACATTTCACAGTAATTATATCGTCAGATGTGTACGTGTAATTACGTTCGAGCAGGTTTCGCGCTCGTAGTTCCCAGATATTAGACGTTGCAAAGCAATGTTAATATGTTCCTTACGCATCAAGTTCCATGTTTTACGTGTTACTTTAATTAAGGGAAACAAAAAATTTTCTCGGATACCTTTCAGCTTCGTTTCGATTCGTAAATGGTAATTTCGACATATATTACGCGTCGAATTGAGTTATTAGATTTATACAGTTACAGGATTTATAATTTTTAAAATAGATGTTTATAATTAGAAAGAAAATATGTTGCAAATAATAATGAATATTTAATGGATATTAGTGTATACAT